GCCAAGACCCCCCCCCCACCTACCACGTCCCAGGTCCTCGGGGGGGGGCTGCTTGGAAGGCCTTTGGAGGCACAAGGGGAAACCCTGCCAGCAGCCCCCCCCCCCACTGGTAGGGTGACACCCCCAGCCCACCAGAGGAGCCATGCCTCAAGCCCTGAGCTGGGGGCACAAGAGGATCTGGCTGATGCCCCTCCTCACCTTGGCCCAGGCGTGCTCCTGTCAGGGCTTCCTTGGCACTGCCAAAGCCCAGCTCACGGCAGACAACGCTGGCTGACAGCAGGTTCCAGCGATCGTCGCAGACGGTGCCCCACTCGCCGTTCTTCAGCACCTCGACCCGGCCCTCGCCAACCTTGGCCCCCCCTTTCAGCCGGACCCGCTGCTGTGGGGGAGCACAGGGAGGCTCAGCTCCAGGGGGCTCCTGTGCCAGCCTGCCTTCTCCAGAGGCACCCCTGTGGCTTCCCATGTGCCAGCAGCCCACCTCCACCCTCCCCTTTGCTCACCTGTCCCTGCTGCTGCTGCTGCCCCCGCCTCTTTTTCTGGGCATTCCCTGCAGCAAAAAGGGGGCCTGGCACACAGCTCACCACAGCTGGCATGCCGCCCTTGCAGACACTAGTGATATTGCTCTTGTAGAACTCGAAGGAGCAGGTGGAAATATGGACCTCGTTCCCAGCACAAGCAACCGAATGCAGGTGGTAGTTATGCTGCTGGCGTTGCAGGTACAACCTGCCAGGAGAAAGAGCAGGTCTCTGGGGAGCTGCGTGGGAGCCTCGTGGGCCACAGACAGGTCCCCTGGGCTCCTCCGCCCCACCCCTCAGCTGCGCCAGGGGCACCGAGAACGCTGGGTGAGGGCTGGAGGGCTGCGGGTGGTCTCCCTTAGCAGGCGCTGGGCCCTTTAGCAGCTGGGAAGATGCCTGGTTGAACCCAGGGACTGCTCAGTTGCCTCTTGGCACCCTACAGACCTCCCTGCAATTTCCTTGGAGTAAGGCTTGGCAAGCCCAGGAAAATCAAAAGCCAAAGTAATGGTAGTTGCTTTCCTGCAAGTGCTCTGTGGCATCGCCATCAGCAGCTGGGAGTTGTCCAGGCCAAGGGTCAGTTTGGCCATGCGCAGAGCAGCCCTGCTGGACTGGAGCAGGCCGGTGTGAGAGGCAAGCGAAGGCCAAGGCACAACCCCGCTTGTGGGCCCTGGGCTGCCCCCAACGCCCAGGAAAAGCTTTTGCAGGATCTGGCGTGCGATGCTGCAGCATTGCCTCCAAATGGGCCGCTCAGCTGCTCGAGAGCTTTGAAGGGTCGAAGTAGAGCAAACGGCTGCTTTTCTTTGGTCCCTCGCAACAGGTCGTCACAAATGGCTGCCGCCAGGGAAGCAGGTGCCTCGTGCAACCCGCGTGGCTCGTGGCAAAAAATGTGGTCATTGCTTCCTGGCACAGTGCGTGATTTGCATGCAGAAAATCCACAGCTCAGCCCAGCTTCTGCAGAGAAGCCCTTTTTCGGTAGAAGTGCTGCCACGGTAGGCGAACCGAGGAGGTGAGCTTGAGAACTGGTTCACTGTTCAAGCCATCTGCGTGGTGGCCACCAGCAGCCCTCAGAGCAGCCCACCGAATGTGGCACAGTAGGCCGGTCTCTTGAAAATGCCCCGAATCTCCACCTATGCAGCTCTCCCGATATCCTGGAGCTCTCCGGTTCCTGGAAAGCCACAGATGCTTTGGCCCGCTGCCTTGCTTTGCAAGGGGGCAGAGGCAGAGGACGGAACACCACCGTCATCTGTGTGTGGCTGGCGGAAGGCCACCTTGCTTGGATCCGGGCCTTCTCTTCGCACCCCACCCGGCTGGCAAAGAAGCACCTTTCTTCCAAATGCAGTTGCTACCCGAGGAGGGCCCTTGTCTCACCAGTGAGTCACCGCTCAAGCTCCTCTGGGCGAGACAGAACACACTGCCCGCTCTGTCTGGAAGCGGCTTCCAGACACCCGTCTTGGGGCCTCCTGACTTCTGAGCACTCCCCTCTGGCTCTGCGCAGAGGGAAAGGCCTCCCACGTGCGCTTCACCACAAAAGTTCTGGAATCAGGACATTATTTCGGACTGACATGTTTAATTGAAGGCAGAAGCTTCTCTTAACGGCTCACAGAAGCTTCTGCCTTTCAATAAAATTGGCTAGTTGGAAAAGGCGCTACCAGATTCCTCCAGATTTTTGGTACTGTAGACCAACATGGCTCTCTTGCTGCAAGGGTTCTTGGTGCCCCAGCCAGGAAGTCCCTTCGCACAGCCGGCTTTTCAGAAGTGCCAATGCTGCACTTGTGCCCAGTGACTCTCTGGATGGATCCTGGCTGGGCACCTTATAGCAGAAAAGACTGTGGTGCCCATCAGGGACAGCTGGCAAGCCCACCAGCCCCACTTAAAGTTGTCACTTCTGAGGCTCATTAGGTGAATTAATCTTCATCCCACACTTAATTGCAAAGCTCTACACTTAGCGCCCCCTCCGGAGCTGGTTGACCTCATGGGGGTAGGACCAAATGGCAGCCATCACCTGTCAGGTGCCTTCTGGTTCCAGGAACAGGAGGCTCCTCTCGGTGTTTGCTCCCAGGGAACTGATGATCCAGGGTGGTCGTGGGGGTGCTGAAGTGAGGGCTGGAGAGTCAATTGCACGGGAGGCTTCAACTAGAACTTTTGCGCCAAGCAGCAGGCTGGGCTGGACGGCACCAAGGGCCTGCCCCTGTTCTGTGACCCTGGGACCGTTCCCAGTTCAGGTCTCGTGGGCCAAAGAGGGCGATCTTGGTGCTCCTAAGGAAGCCCCGAAGGAACAGAGTGCCCAGGACATGCCCTTGTGAAGGTCCCAGCAAGGGGCCCTTTGCTCTCCAGAAGCATGCCGCTCCGCGAGAGCAGAGGGGCAGAAAGCACAGCCAGGAGGTGAGCGGAGCCCCCATGGTGTGTGATGGACCTCACGCCCACCAATCCAGAAGGCTGCTGGGGGCCCAGTCTGCTGGAAGAGGGCCCCAAGTGATGCCGTGGGGGCGAGGCTTGCGCCCTTCCAGGCTGCATCTGCCATCCCCACGCAGCATGTCTCAGCCACATCTGGGAAGGGCTCAGAGGCTGTGGGGCCAAGGCAGCCCAGCTGCGTGGCCCATATGCTGGCTGGGGGGGCCTGGCTTCCTTGTTTGAGCTGCCTGGAAAAGGGGAGGCAGGAGCCCCTTCATGGGTGGGAGCGCTGCCCTTGTCTCAGGAACCCTGGCCGCCTCTTCCTCCCTCCAGATCTGGCCTTCCCTCCAGGCAGTTTCCAGGGAAGACCCCCCCCCTTCACACTCAGCTGGACCCGAAGGGAAGAGAGACCTTCAGGAGGACAGCCCCACTGAAACACGCCTGGGTTCCCCCCAGGCGCTCCCACTGCCCGTGCTTCCAGGAGCTGGTCAGTTTTATTAAATGGAAGCTCGGGGGAGGGGGTGGGTGGTGTTGGTGACCACCCCTGCTTTTGTCCCTGACTGGCAGCCCCACAGCAATGGGCTAGATTTGTCAACTCCTGAGCAAGCCCTTGTTTCCCCAGGAGCTTAGAGTGAGGTCCGTGACACCCCCTTCCCTTTTTCTTCCTGCAAGGCAGTTTGCTGTGCAACAGGTGAGCAGCCCAGGGTCGCCAGCACGGAAAGGTCACCACCAGGACAGAAAACAGGGAAGGGGGACACGGTGTCCTTTGGAGGTTCCCATGCTCCCCCCCCTGCTGAGCAAGTGGCGCCCTCTCCCTATGCTCACTTGTAAAAGTTGCGGTTGGCCTTCCTCTCGGCAGGGAAGCCCAGCATTCCGCAGACCACGCGGCTTTCCCGGCCGCTCCAGTTCTCGTCGCAGATCTGGGCCCAGCTGTTCTTGTGGCGGACTTCCACGATGCCCTCTGTGATGGGCAGTGGGCGTTTGGCCTGGGACACCACTGGGCGCAGCCGCAGCTCCTCCACCTGGTTCTGCTCTGCCTGGAGAAGGGAGAAGGCGTCACCCAGGCCAGCATCCCCAACCCCAGCCAGGCCAGCTCCGGGCTCCACCTAGGAAGGGCCCGTCTGGTCTCTCCTGGCCAGAGCGGCTGATGGGAGTCTTCCGCTCCTCCGCCAGAGGAGACCATGAGCTCCGTGGGGCTGCAGAGGGAGGCAAGCCAGGGGAGCCTCCGGGGAGGAATTGCCCCCTCCCCAATATGCAAGCATTCCTTCAGTGTACTTAGCTTCGTGGCCCTCGGCTCAAGAAACACTTTCTCTCTCCCACCCCCCACCCCCAATTATTAAGGAGCATCTACAGTTAGGGAGTGGAGAATAAATATCTGCCAACAGATATAAGGAAAAAGGCTGTGGAAGCAGCCTGGAACAGAGTGAAATGAATTACACTGCCAATGTCACAGAAGTATCTGCACAAGGGGAAGGATCAAAACGGATGCTAGATGGAATGAGGATCTGGAAGAGATTATAGACGGAGGAAATGCACGCAAGAGAGTGATTCCTGCAAGAAGGAAAGAAGGTAAGTCTGACATTAATACCTGGAAAGATGTTAGAGCAAATAATGAAGCAGGCCATTTGGAGGTGTTGGATGGAATGGAGGAGCCAAGGCAGAGCAACCCTGCCATCTTGTCTGGGCAGGCTGAAGAGTGGGCTGAGAGGAAGGAGAGGTCCTCTCAGGGAGAAGCATTAAGTATTACATTTAGGGTGGAGAAATATAGGGCACACACATTGGGTGGGGGTTGATGATTTGGGAACACTACATCTGAGAAGGACTGGGAGGAGGTTGCTGACAACAAGCTGAACATAAGCGAGCAGTGAGGGACAGCCGTCAGAAGAGCTAACACGGTCCCGGGCTGCGTCAGAAGCAGCATGCAAAAACACGCAAAGTCCTTATTGCTCTGTACGCAGCACTGCTGAGCTCACACCAAAAGTCCTGTGTATGATTCTGGGCACCTCATTTCCAACCGGTGTTTGATGGGTCAGTACAGGTTCAGTGATGATACAGACGGTCCTATGAGGTCTGACTGAAGGAATGTGGAATATGTAGTTTGAGGAAAGAAAAACCCTCAGGAGAGACATGATAGTTCTGCTTAGGTGCATAAAGGGGAGATGGCAAAGAACTATTTTTCATGGCCATAGAAACTAAAATCAGAAATAACAGTATAAGTCGCACTACCTAGATTTCATTTAAATATAAAGAAGAACGTCAAAATGATAAAATCTGTACAACTAGGGACAATCTACCTATGGAGATTGTGGCTTCTCCATTTCTGAGATTCTTAAGAAGAGGCAGTCCATGGATAGTTTAAATCAGGTTTCTCCACAGTGGACCATATCGACCCCCAAGGGTTGATGGGACTATCCATTGTTGTTGTTATTATTTGTAGTACTATTAAAGTAGCATTTATTAAATTATTTACATATAATAAATGTTTGGGAGTT